AAGATACATCTTCTAATATTATTCTCAAAAGAGGTTGCATCATATTTGGACATGCTACAAGAAGGAAAAGAAAAGCACCCTTGGTTTTCAGAAATATTTGTTTTGATTTTAGAAATTCTAAAGTAAAAATAGTCTTGAAAATAAAAACCACCCCAATCAATCAGTTCTATATGCAGCACTGACCAGCTTCTTTTCAATGTATCGTGACACAATACAAGAAATTGTAATTGTTTTATATTAGATAATTGTCTGCCTTAAGTGACTGGGCATAGACATTTCTTGGCATGATATTAAGCTATTATTTTTTAAGTAATTGATTTTAAAAACAAACAGTTCAAATATTTCTTATTTGAAGACTATAAATCACAGCTAGTGTGCACTAAACTGAGATTGTTCTGTGCCTCCTTTTTGTGTGTTGTATTTCCTGAAAGCAGCTTGATATTGAAATTTTGCACCATCCCGTCTATGTTTTGATTATTGAGTAGAAGAACTGAGGCAATTTTGTTCAGGGTTTTGGTGGTGTTTTTTTAACTTCAGACTGGGTTTTCTACGTTAAAAATCTGTTCCTGTCTGTGCTTGGCCAGCAATACTTTGTGCCATATAAAGGGAGCTGCAGTGTTTCAGGGAATTCCTTTTAGCTTTCTTGCTGAAGTGCCTGGTAGTCTTTATCAAAAGACTCCTCTCCGCTTAACAGACCCTCTTTAATTGGCCACTTGCATGGTCAGTTAACATACTGGATGGAAACCAAGTGGTAAAGTGTGAACAACTGTATCTGGCACTATAAACACAGTGACTGCTCTGAAACCTGGGGCTATTTATATACAAGGCAGTGTTTTGTCATGCTGATTTTTATTAGCATGGATTAGACACAGACAACTTGGTAGATGTCACAGATGAGTCAGAAAATGTTAAGCACAGACCATTTCAAACCTGCGAGTCTGTAAAGGAGTGTTGGGGCTTGGAGCCTTCATCTCTCCTTCCCCTGGCAAGCAGGGGCCTGGTGCGGGGGGCATACTGGCACTACTTCTCTTCCATTTGTCCTACAGGACAGGCTGGACCATCACAGAATGGGGAGAAATGTGCCTGGTTTACAGAAGGGGTTAATCCATCCAACAAGGTTTTTGGCTGTTCTGTGCAGAAAAATGTTTGGTAGAGGCTGGCAGAAGCACTGGGCATACCTGGAGCATGACAATGCTCTCAGGAATGTTGCAACAAGTGACGTATCAGGGTCTTTCTTGTGGGGTTAAAATTAATTTTCACCCTGAATGCATTTTTTTTACTACTTCCAAAGGCAAGGTAAGGAAAGTTGGCTGAGCAATGAAACAAAAAATGGGTGATGCTAGAGGACGAATGTTTCTGTACCACATGTGCAGCACCAGTGCTCTGGGTGCTAGGAACCTGCCAAGCTACTACTCTGAAATCCCACCTTTCTAAGAGCCAAGTCTTAGGATTTGTCTTCAATCTCATAATTATAATCGGATATCTCTTAAAGGCTGAAATATGTTTTTATCCCTGGCCATAATTTTTTGTTACTATTATGGAAGACCTAGCAGTAATAAATTTACCTTTGCTCTTTTTTACAAGCATTCTAAACAATAAAAATTAATTATGAAAAATATTATATATGTCTGCATGCCTATTTATTCTGCCTCTATTCTTAGAAGCATTAAACATACTGCAGCTATACTTGTCCAGTCAAAAAAAACCTACCTGTGCTACATATTTATAGAATTCAGAGAGAAATTGCTCTTATTGAGGGCACTGGGCATTCTCAGCTCATCTGCTGCATCCCCCTTTCTAGGAACAGGAAAAAGAATATCACTCAGTGGAATATGGAGAAGTGTGTGTTTTGGGGTGTGGCTTTCTGTTTTGCATGGCTCTTACTTAGCTGAAGAAACTCCCTTTGCCATCAAGGTGTGACAGATCAAACTTCAATATTGTAATTCCCAGTACGTATCCTTCCCTAATCCTTGGAAGGGGGTTAAAACTGCAAATACAGAGATTCAACATAGTGTGCATGTATGTCTACAAGTGCATATGCATGAGTATTTGTAAATAAGAATTGTGCAAAAGAGTCTTGGCATAAATTGTGCTATACAGCACTTCATCTTTCTATACACATGTATGAGTATAATCACTAACTGTAAAAAGAGACAGTATCTCAAATCAAAGAGGTAATTCTACAAATTCTTCGTCAGTGTAGTACTTCACGGGGCAAGAAAGAAACACTCATACAAACCAAGAAAAAGGCAATCAGGTTTCATTTGTAATGTTTACATCCAAAAAACTCCAAAGCCGGTTTGTGCTTTGGATCCTTAACACTATGTGCTGCACCAAAAGCTGCCCTTGTTAATAACCACACAGATAATACATGTAAGAATACTAGTGTGGGGCAGATGCAGGTGTGCATATCTGTTCCTGAGCTCGGGAAGCTGGGTTTTCCTGGACTATTTCCAACTTTGGCAGGGGGAACTTTAGCTGAGTAAGAAATCCAGGCTGTCATTCGTGAAGCAGCTGGCATAGGCGCAAAGACTCCCCGCTCTTTGGGAAAGTAAAACAGCAACTTTCTGTCTTCACTGCAGGATGCATTCTCTTCTAAAGAGTTAAAATCAATGCCAGGGTGCCATACCTTGTAAACGTTTGCCATTTATTATGCATTTAAATGTGCACAGCACATACATCACAGTCTTGAGCAGCACCTGTATAAAACTACAGACACATTCTGGTAAATGGTGAAAGCTCATCCCGTGTAACATTGTTATCAAGTTTTCATCACAATACTTCAAAGTTACAACAACTACCTCTGAATGTATTTTGTGTGAGGCCGTCAGTTGGGGATTTAATGTAGTGAAAAGTGACAAAGAACCATTCCCAGAGAAAAATCTTAGTGATCTGGTTTTGCTACCTGAAATCTGGAACAACATCATTGGTTGTTAGAGGTAGTGGTGATAATTACACAATGATTACTCACATACAGAAAACATAGGATGTACAGAAATCCCCCCCAAATTACAGGGAAAAAATATAACAAATCCTTAGGCATGACATTTCCTATGCACTTTCTCTTAACTTGGTTTCCAATTATTCTTTTTGCTTTGACAGCAGCTGCCTTAAGATCTGGTCCTGGTCTGGTCTGGTCTTACTGAACTTTGATGAGTCGATTTTGTCTTCAAGGTCATGTATAAGTAGGGGATACAGGCAAGTTTATACCATTACAAAGGAACGAAGGCTTTTGTGTAGGAATGTAAAGAGAAAACAAAAAAAGCTGAACTCAGATTTTCAGGTAGTCAGAAATAACTAGCTCAGATTGGAAGATCATCTGTAAACATCCTCTAAGTCATCATACATGGTTAGTTCTGGTTTCCACTTAACTGATTCCCCAAGGATGAAGCATCTTTTAAAAAAAAAGGAAGGAAGAAAGAAAGAAAAAAGGACAAATGGATCCTTTTAGTGATTCCCCCAATCAAACCTTTCTTTTCCTTCATCACATTAGCGACATGAGTTACACTTGCAAAATATATAAAGAAAAATATAAGGTTACTTGATGACGATATAGTACTGCAGCCTGACAGCTGTCTACAAATATTTTCACCATGATTATCCTTACTAAAAGTAAACCACTGGGTAAAGATAGCTCAAACGTGACAAGGCTCAAATAGGATGCAACCAACTCTATCCTGAATAGTTCTGGCTACATATGGAAAAAAAAGAGATTTGGGATTATGATTGTTCCCCTGGGCCCTCCTCCAGAACTGTAAGACCAAGCAGAAAAGCATGTACCTTCCTTCCATGCAGATTTTGTTAGGAGACTGACTTGGAGAATTAGTGAGGTAGAAATTAATCAACTTTGTCAGGGAATGAGACAGAAAAAAGCAGCATATTTCTCCTTCCAACTACTGCACCAAAAGGGATAAATAGCACAAAACAACCTCGACTCCTTGCAATCAATCTAATCTCTCTGTGGAGATTGTGGTTTTTGCCAGCCAGCAAAAGCTTTTTGCCTTTTAAAAACTGAGTATTGAAGAGTTTCAGAAACTTCGCAAAATGAATATAGCCTCCAAATATGAAAGGGGATTTGATTTGATTTGAACACCGTGTAATTAGTTCACAGTGGCAAGTTGCACGGTGTGCTCACGGAGGGAGGGACAGACACATTTTGTTTTAGCTTAATGCCAAGCAATCACATGCAGTATACGCTTCCATTGAAGACCTCAAAAGATTGTATGCTCCTGTTGATCTAAATAATAAACCCCAACCCCAATCCTGCTGAGTTTCTATAGGTGCTTCTGCCTCTCTACTGCCTGGCAGCTCTAAGATAGACTGCAGGAAAGTTCAAAGTTCAGCACTGGCAGATCTAAAAACAGATTTGGGGGGTTAGCCCTTCAGCACCAAGGTAAACCGATCCCGTTCCAACGAAATAGCAACTCTGCACAAAGGAGGTCAGGCATTGTGTGAGGCTCTATGCTGGCATCCCACCCAGGCATCCCTCCGTTCCTTCTTGGAGGCAAAGAGCTTCTTTGGGAATCACTGGGGAGGTTGGAGAGCATGCTGAGGGGAACAAAGTCACCATAACAAACAAACAAACAAACACGTGTACAGTGATAGACACCATACAGCACATGAAAAGTGCAAAACTTTGTACTAAAGGAATTGAATTCCACCCGGTTTAGGACACGGAGTAGCAGCACACCTATGATAACTTAGAAACAAATTAAATACACCACAAAGCAGAAACCTTCTACTGTTGCACCGTGAAATGAAATGCCTTGGGTTGGGGGTTTGGTTTTGTTCAGAAATTAAAAAAAAACACAAAACAGCCACAAATAAGAATCAGAACTATAAATAACTTTTGTGTCAATATATACAGATTTAAATAATTAATTTAAATATCTTACACCTACTCTTGCATAAAACTCTCCAGTAAAAGTGCACCATGTTTCATTTCCCCAAACGTGTCTTGCATCTTTGCCTGTGCTGAGGTAGGTCTGAAGGGAGATGTCTCAGATTCTGGGTAGAAAATGTGTCACTGTCATTGTGGGAGATACTTTATTGCCTTTCTTTGTTCTTCCATTTTTGCTCAGGGCTATATACATCCCGGGATAAATCCTGGATTCATAAGCATTGTAGTTGTTTGGCAGGAGAATCTCTTTGAATTTGCACTCGTCATTGAAATGGGTCTGAAATTAAAAGGATAGAATGAGAGGGAAGGAATTTTAAACATCAGGTGTGGAAATACTCTTGGTACCAGGTGTAGAAAGTGTGCTGAGAGGAAACGTACAGCTGACTCCCCCCACTTAGTAACCTTTTGAAGTCGTCACCCAAATGAAGCTTCAAACAGGACTCAAGATGCAGAGGATGATTTAGGATGCTGTGTCCAGGCTGAGCATGTCCGCCTAAAGGTGGGAAGGACACCCATAGCTCTTGAGGGAGAGGGGCACATTTAAACAGTGCTGCAGAGGGAATAGGCTCAATTCTGCCCTGTTCATTTAATTGTTCTGGTTGTCCTACCAGCAATAAATTGCCTGAGAGGCTTCAGAAAAGTCTGACTGCTAGCATTTCCTTGTGTTGCTTGAGGAGAAAGAAGCATTTTAAAGACATTCAGCACACACGGTATTTTCTGTTTCTTCAGTTTTAAAATCTAAGGAAGGGTTTGGATAGCTTATGCTATCCAAAGGGAAAACAGAGCTGACAAAAGGCACCCTTTCAGTGAAGAGGTTTCATCTGTAATACAAAGAGGGACGGGTATTACAAGTGTGTTATCTGGAGAGTAACAAATGAACTCATCTCTTACTAGTGAGCAAAAGCCTAGGGTTTTCTAAAGGAAGTCTCAGCCTGCTAAGATGAATACTGCACTGGGAATTACTTTATACAAGACACTGAAGCAGCAGACTTCCTAAGGAATGATGCAAAGGGGACTCCTGCACTTTGGTGACTGATTCTGCCTGACTTTTATAAACATTAAAATCCTCTGTGACAGGACTGATGCTCCAGAAGGTAATTCTGGATGCTTCATGTCTTCATGTGAAAATGCCCTAGGTAACTTTGACATGATTTGGCTCTTCCTCAGCCCAAGTTTCTTGAAAGCATCATTGAGAAACGTGAAATAGAAAAGCCATGGGTAAGGAAGGAACATGGGTTTGAAATTATGCAGGTCAGTAACTTTTACAGAGGTGAACTCAAAAGCAGGAGGACAGCTCAACATGGACAAAGACATGCACTGCTGTTGTCTGCCTCAAGTGTATTTTATAAAATGACTCTGTCATTTCCACAGATTCAGAGTCAAAAAGAACTGTATTGTATCCTAATAGATCTGCCTTCTTATAGAAGTCCAAATCCTGAGAATGCTGAACTGTCATGGGAACAGACTCTCCAATCAAGAGCACTAACAAAGAGGGATCAATAGGTATGCAATAAGAACTGATTCATCACATCATAGAGGATCATTTGTGGGGGCCTCGCTGATCCCAAATTCAAGTGTCCTCTGGGAGATGGAATGAGCAATTGCCATACCTCCTTGAGGCTGTTTGTACTTAAATATAAGAAAGAGATGGATGGAGGCTAGCTTGAGGTCTTGCCACAGAAATTGACTACTCTGTTGGTCTACGTGGTAGGAAAGAAGGGTACCATGGTTGGGTGACTACAGTGTTTATGAGGGACCAAGGAAAAAGCATAATGTAAAAGAGTGGGCTTCACTTCAAAATCTCATTAAGCAGCATGCCTGGGCAGCACACCTTCTATTAGCAAGGCAACAGGGGCTGCTTTGTGTTGTCTGACCCAGGAAGGGCAATGATGGGGTTTGAGCAGCTTTTAGCACCATTCACACTTCCCACCCCAGCTGATCATGGTCCCCTCCCCCAGGCACACACTCGATGGCTACTTACAGACCCATAGAGTTTCCCTTTGCTATTCATGGCCACGAAGAGTCCACTTCTAACACCAAATATGCTCACCACTCCTCTTTCCACGGGGGAGATTTCCAGCAAACCTGCAGAGGAGACATAGGAATCAGGGAGACAAAGGGCTGTACCCAGAAGGACTGCGTGGTGCCAGTGCTGCCCTCACCTAGAAGCTCTCATTCCCGGCTTGGTATGGGTCCCCGTGCCCAAGCACCGCTGTGGGTGGCCCCAGAACCCCAGCCTCATGCTCACCGTGCTGCACCATGCCCCATGCTGGGACTTCTTTTAGCCAAGTATCTATTTTTACTTTGCCCCCAGGCATCCTCCTGTGTAGAGGAGGTTCAAATAGACCAGAGTTTGTGCCTGGGCCGAACGAACGTTTGTCATCTTGGAGTTTATATCCCCCCTCCCGGATCTTATTGTTTCAGTTGGATATCAGAGCCATGGGGCCACGGGGTTAAGTCCCCAGCAGATACTTTTCAAGTCTGGGGGAAAGCTACGCTCTCCCCGGCCCCTTTTCAGACTGGGCGGCCCACGATGCTGCGGACCCTCCAGATGTTGAGCCAACCCCGACACCTGGTGCCTGACGGTGGCAAGCACTGCGCCGAGCAGCGCGCCAGCGGCCCCGGCAACCGCCGCCCTTGGGGAAGCCCAGGAGGGCAGCCCGGAGGTGTCGTGGTCGGGCGAGATTGTTAGGGTATTTAGAGATCAGCCATGCACCCACACTTTTAGCCACACGCCACTCTACGAGGCAGGTGAGCTGCTCCGCTCCCGCAGAACCTCCCTCGAGGGCGGTTCCGCTGGCGCGGAGCGCCTCAGCTTCCCCGCCACGGGGGTCGTCACCGGCTTACTGTATCGATTCTCGCTGTGGATCCCGTCGATACGGCCGTCGGGCAGGACCTGGATGTGAAAACCGATGCCCACGTTGCAGTAGAGGCGCCGCAAACGTTTGATACCCAAGAGGTAGTCGCCGTCGCGGGCGGCGTCGCGGCGCTCGGCCGGGAGACGAGCGACGGAGCGAGCGAAGAGAGCAGCGTCCCAACGGCGCTGGCGGGGCCCGGCGGGGAGATGACTCGGGAGCGACCGGCCGCGGACGGCTCCTGGCCATAGCAAGCCCAGGAGCAGCGCCTGCAGCAGTGCAGCGGGGAGAGGCATCCCGGTTTAGGGGCTCCGAAAAGACGCTCACCCCCCAGCTCCCGCTTTATACTGAGGTCAAAAGTTGGAGGAAGAAGAGGGGAAAGAGAGAAAAAAGGGAAACCAACCAACAAAGCAAAACAAAATAAAACACCCAAAACAGAACACACACAAAAAAAAGGGAAGGGGGGGGGGAGGGGGGGGAGGGGGTGCTGCTGGAAGAAAAAGCGAGGCCGGAGGGGAAGAAGAGAGTCCCGCGCTCAGTCCCCTGAGGATTTGCTGTTTCCCTGTGCTGGCTGCATGGAGAGGAAATCCCAGAAGCAAGAGCTTCTGAACTTGATCTCAACTCCAGGAGTCTTGTCTGAAGTGCTGATCTTCTCCTAATAGCTGCTCAGCCATAGCGCTTCAGCCCTAGCCACGATATTTATACATCCATGTGCGTTGGTACCTATTACATCACCACCTACTGCTGTCTGCTGCAGCCCTCCTGTTTAGCTGAAAGTCAAATTATCACCCCTAGATGCTTAACAGCTCCGAAGCGTCTTGAAGAGAACGGGTGAGCAGCACTGGTGCTAAACGAGAAGGACAGCACAAACTTTCTGAAAAGAAAAGGTCATATTTTGCGTTCATCACAGCGGCTCCCTTCTTTCCCTTTTCTGTTTCTTTTTCTTTCTTTCTTTCTTTCTTTCTTTCTTTCTTTCTTTCTTTCTTTCTTTCTTTCTTTCTTTCTTTCTTTCTTTCTTTCTTTCTTTCTTTCTTTCTTTCTTTCTTTCTTTCTTTCTTTCTTTCTTTCTTTCTTTCTTTCTTTCTTTCTTTCTTTCTTTCTTTCTTTCTTTCTTTCCTTCTTTCCTTCTTTCCTTCTTTCCTTCTTTCCTTCTTTCCTTCTTTCCTTCTTTCCTTCTTTCCTTCTTTCCTTCTTTCCTTCTTTCCTTCTTTCCTTCTTTCCTTCTTTCCTTCTTTCCTTCTTTCCTTCTTTCCTTCTTTCCTTCTTTCATTCTTTCCTTCTTTCCTTCTTTCCTTCTTTCCTTCTTTCCTTCTTTCCTTCTTTCCTTCTTTCCTTCTTTCCTTCTTTCCTTCTTTCCTTCTTTCCTTCTTTCCTTCTTTCCTTCTTTCCTTCTTTCCTTCTTTCTTTCTTTCTTTCTTTCTTTCTTTCTTTCTTTCTTTCTTTCTTTCTTTCTTTCTTTCTTTCTTTCTTTCTCTTTCTTTCTTTCTCTTTCCCTTCCTTCCTTCCTTCCTTCCTTCCTTCCTTCCTTCCTTCCTTCCTTCCTTTCTTTCTTTCTTTCCTTTCTTCCCCCTTCCTTCCTTCCTTCCTTCCTTCCTTCCTTCCTTCCTTCCTTCCTTCCTTCCTTCCTTCCCCCTCCCTCCTTCCTTCCCCTCCCTCCCTCCCTCCCTCCCCTCCCTCCCTCCCTCCCTTCCTTTCTGCCCTCTTCCTTCCTTCTTTTTTTATTTCTTTTTTACTTTCTTTCCTCCCTTCTTTCCTTCTCTCTCCCTCTCCTTTCTTCTTTTCTGTTTCTTCCTCTTTTTCTCTACAAATGCTAATGCAGGACACAAAAACCAAAGAATGCCCAGCACACTCCCCCTCCCAACACAATGTATGGCTTTATGGAAATCTGTGGAATTTCAGCTTTTGCTGTATCCAAGCGACATGGTTTACAGTTTGCTGGCTGCAGAAACATTCCCTTCATTAAAAGCCAAAGTAGTTGTTGCATGGAAGGTTTAAGAAGTGAAAAATGAAAGAGGACAAACAAACAAACAAACAAAACAAAACAAAACAAAGGAAAGAACCAAGGCTTTATTAAAGAGGGAAATGTTTAAAGAGGCAGCATGTGCTCAAAAGTGGTAATAAAGATCTTGATTCTAAATATCCTTTTAAGAAATGCAAAAGCACAGCATTGCTCTGGAGCACCAACATGTGGAGCTGCCTCTTAGTCACTGAACTTGTAGGGGCTATAGTGCCAGTTTATTCCCACACTTTAGAGGTGTTCTGTTCATGCAAGTATTGATTATTTTCTACATGTATGTATGTGGTGCAATTCCTTAGAAGTTGCTGTTGTGCCTAAGTGATGCAGTTGTTCCTAGGTAATTACTTAATTTGGTTTAAGTTCATGAAAATGAAGCTCAGTGTTTAAAAGTAGAAGTTTTGACCCCGCTGGTCTAGAATTACTTAGTTTAGAGCTAAGTAATATCACTTTCCTTAGCTTAAGCCTTGGCCTTCAACAGTTTTCAGAACCAACAGGTAAGGAGATATTAGGACAATTTTGGAAGGTCCTGAATTAATACAAAAATATGCATGGGGAGGGGGGAAGTGGTTTGTGACTCAAGTCCTTTATAGCCTGAAGACGGCTTAGTCTTTCACACCATTAAAGCTCTCCTGCTGTTCCAGCAAAGGATGCGAGAGAAAAGAGAATTGCCCCAAGCCAGATGACAGCTCACCTAGGTGCGAAAATCTCTGACCTTTGCTAAACCTAAGCAAACTTAGATGATGTGCTTTTATTTCTTCTTGTGAGGTGCATGTACACAGTGTGTGTGTGTCTTTTCAACCACAGCTCTCAGGATGGAAAAAGACTGCTGCTGCCTTGTGGGTGATTGCAATCTGGTGCTACAGAGGTACAAGTCTCTTTTTTGTAGTTTTGTCTCAATGTCAAATAAGTCAATTCCTGCGTGTGTTTAAAGAGAGCGGAGTTGAGATTTTTCTCTGTGGAGATTTACAGGCTGATAAACCCCCTGCTGTCAAACATCCAGACGTCTACTATTTTTCCATCCAAACCCTTCTTCCACCTGACAATGCAGATGGGTTAGCTCTGGGTGAAAGGGCTATGCATCAGGCAAAGGCTCATAGGTTTGGAAACTGCTCTGCAGTCTGTTCTGGATGCCTTCTTCTTCCTTAGGGGTCATAGAACAGTGTGATTCCACCTCGCTTCAAAACCTGTATTATTTGTTAGCAAATAGCAGTGGGTGAATTTGAGATTAAGTTTATTTACCTTCTGAAGGGTAAGGCCAAGGAGCAGTACTTCTGCCAACATCCCTACCCAGCAGCTTCCCTCCTGCAGCAGAAGCACAGTCTAACACCCTCAGCTGATGGGTCAGGGCTAGGTCTGCTTGGCCTTACTGCCACTGACAGTGATTATCCCTGACCCAAAAAAATATGAACTCTGAGGCCTTAGTCCTGTGAATGTGAAAGCACATTAAAGCTTGAAGGTAGGGATGTGCACTGGAGGCCCAGAGAGCTGCGATATCTTCAGCCCTTTGGGACATATGGAAATGGGTCCTAAAATGCCCTGTTAGGCTCTGAAATCACATGTTTGCTAAAGCAGGTCCTAAATGATTACACTGAATGTCCAGAACACCAAATCATATTGTCATATCACCGATTAATAAGGGACGCTTCTGCAAGTTCGCCTCAACTTGTTACAGAATTAAATGGCACTTTTCCCATAAAGGCTTCAGACTAACCTTTCTGAGAGGAAAATCTACAAATTTCCAGCTAAGAAGGAAACTATGAGGTTTGGTTTTGCTTTCAAATTGCATACGTGTGTGTGAGTCTGCCTATAAAACAGTAGTCTCAATGCTTCTAAACCACGGAGTTCCCCCTATACCTGATGTCACACACTCTTTCACAGCAATAATTTAAACATTAAAACAGGTAAAATGTCTTCATCTTTGTATTGCCTCCGTTTCCTGAGAAGTGTATGTGGATATCACAGTTCAGACAGCTCTGCTTTCCAAATTCCTCTAGGCTTAAAGTAGAAAAAACAAGAAAGGATGGTCAGAATTCAGGTCCACACCCAAGCTCAAGCCCCATATCATGTATTCTGAAAGGAAAAGGGGAAAATAAGGAGGAATCTGGAATATCTTTACAATATTTATAGAAATGATTCTGCAATTGCACTGACATAGCAGTCATGTGAACTTGGTTGTGTCTCTGTATGTCTAAAGGGGTCTATGTCCACCACTTAAAAATCAATTTACATATTTATTAACTCCAGTAAATAGACAGAAACGACCCTGAAAGATATTGCTCATGAGCTTTTCTGCTGTAGGCAAATATTGTACTGAGACCCTTTGATCTCGAAGGATGGGGAGTGTACTAGAAGGTGCACAGAGAAGTATATTGTTAGGAAAAAAATCCCTTTCATTATGTTTGAATGCTAGAAGGACACAGTAAAAAAGCAACCTCACACCCCAGCTCTCCCTTTGCGTACACCCCTTTCAATTATGATTATTTTAGAAGACAACTACCCCATGATTTGTAGAAGGGACTCGCCTGAGGAAGCTTTCTCACGTTCACATCTGGCTGCCTCTCTGTGTGAGCAGGGGCATGGTCCTGGGAGAGGAGGAGGCTGGAATGCAGCACAGTGCTGGAGGCCCAAGCCCTGGATGGCCAGGATCGCTGGGAGACCTTCACCATCCAGGCCTCTGCTGCCCGCATAACACCCATACCCCCACACAAGCTAGAGAGTCAGATGCACTCTTTTTCTTCTCTGTTTGCAGCTGGTCTATTTGATCTCTCCATGCCCAGGCTGTTTGCTGTTGTGAGCGTCTTGCTATGATCAAAACCTTATTATCTTGAGTGATGTTGTAGTGTTATATATTGGGAAAGGACGGTGGAGTATAGCAGCAGGCAGCTACAATACTGGGCAGATAACAATGGCGCCAATAACCTCTCTGCAGGGTGTTTGGACTGATTCAGTGGGACTTCTGAACATTACTTAGCTTGTGATGGGTACGGACTTTTTCAACAGCTACTCCCCCTGCTGCTGGTGAATTTGTGCACTCGTACATCTCTCTATGAAACAGGACAGTGCACATCTTTGTGGCTCCTGTAGGTATTCAGCAGCTTAGATGTTGCAATTCACGCTTCCAGCTTGTGACCCTGCTGCTCACGTAGACTCATAAAATGGTTTGAGTTGGAAGGGACCTTAAGATCACCTAGTTCCGACTGCCTGTTACAGACATGGGCACCTAAACTATGTTGCCCAAGGATCTGTCCAGGCTGGTGTTGAACACTGCCAGGGATGGGGCAGCCACAGCTTCTCTGGGCAACCTGTGCCAGTGCCTCAGCACCCTCACAGTAAAAACT